GGGGGGAGCCACGGGAAGCGGAAGCTTCAAGAAAATGCTGACAAGAGTCCTCCTCTCTTTTTTTTCCTTTGTTTTGTAGCTAAGAGAAGAACAGGCAACAAAAGAAGGCTAACTATTTACAATTAACTAATTATAGGTTCTCTTAGGGGAAGAAGAACTACTGAGGAGATGAGAGAATGGAAGCTCCATCTGTGTCTTGAGGGGGGAGCCACGGGAAGCGGAAGCTTCAAGAAAATGCTGACAAGAGTCCTCCTCTCTTTTTTTTCCTTTGTTTTGTAGCTAAGAGAAGAACAGGCAACAAAAGAAGGCTAACTATTTACAATTAACTAATTATAGGTTCTCTTAGGGGAAGAAGAACTACTGAGGAGATGAGAGAATGGAAGCTCCATCTGTGTCTTGAGAGGAACTGACGGGTAAGCCAGGTGCGCACGAAGATCAAAGAGCACGAATGGCGCGTGCTTCACACTGCGCAGGCGCAACCCAGCTGAGAACAGCTATACAAAGCCTCTGAGCTGTGGCACCAAGATGAGCCAGACACCATGAATGGAGCACCCACGGGGACCACTCGAAGAATGAGGGTATGGGAGGGAATGCAGTGTCCGGGAAGGCATGTGAGGGCTGGAGCAGGGATGGAGGAGGATTGGGTTACATGGGATAGGATGACAGAAGGGGGGCAGAAGGTTGGGGAGGCACAGAGGGGCTGGGATACTACAGGCTCTAGCTGGGAGACTTTACCTGGCTCCAAGCCAGCAGCCCAGCAGGTTCCTTAGCCAGGGACCCTGCCTTCCAACAACTGTATGTGTTGCAGGAGCCAAGTTTATTGCTCTAACTGATTCGTGTGAGCCCAAGGAATGAGGGAGGAGGGGCACTTACCACACCGCCTGTTTTGCAAACAGGAAGCTGCTATTAGTGAAAACTGGCCAATGGGAACTAAGGAGGAGTGGGGAGGGCAGGGGGTAGCATGAGAAGCCTGTCTCCCCTCTATCCAGGCTTTCACCATTCACAAACACACACATGGCCCTGCAGCTGGCTTCACTGAGTCCAAGTGGGATGGGACAGGCAGGGAGCCAGCTGAGGCTCTTGTGGTTGGATCGGGCCACAGATTATCTTTTCCCCAGCCCTGGAGTAGAGGCTGAAACCAGCTTCTCCATTTGTAGCAGGCAGCAGCTACTGCTGCTGCTTCTCCTCCTCCAGGAGAGTGAGTGCCTCGCCCTCCCTTCCCCAGATGATCAGCTGAATTCCCTGCCTGCAGGGAAAGCTCTGAACCTTTGTGCGGGGTTCAGAAAAGGGCCACACAGCCATGAAACTTACGAGCCAGTCACCCACACTCCCATCTTTCTATTCCAATTACAAAACACTGAAAACAATGCGAACCCATTCCCACTGAAGAGAGTTCTTCTTTTGACATCATTTTGGTATCATTTTCTCTTCCTCCTCAAATCACTTCTTTAGATTATCCCCATGCCATTTAAAGTTTAAATTTATCTTTAGTTTTGAGGACCTCAATAACTCAGCTTCTTTCTGTGTAACTATTATAATCTCCACTCAGCCTAAACATCATTCTGAACAGCTTCTTTTGCCACTTTTGCATACCACACTAATTGAGGCAGATGGAAGAAGAGTACTTTGTTGCTGCTTTATGATGTTTTCGTCATCCGAAAAGACTTTGAAAACAGATTCTGGAACCAGCATTTCTTCCACTTTAATATTTTAAACTCTATTAGTTTAGTGCCACCAATGCTCTTGACTGCCAACTGCGAAAAAAGAGCTAATAGGTATCGTACAAGAAAAATATTGCTATGTGTGGTTCGCTATTTGGAGTGATGAATGGCAAGAACTTCAGAAATCAACTATTTCTGCAATCAGAGAAAGAAAACATAAGACTTACTGAGATGTTTGTTCTATACTGATTTCTTCTTTCAAAAAGAGAAAGTTTTCTCCATCATCAGGCTCCAAAGAGCTGATGTCAGGTCCATCTTGATATGGAGTAATCACTCTCCTGACCATGGCTGGAATCTACAATATGAGAAGCTAATGATATATTGCTCCTTTTGGTGTAATAGCACACTATTTCTTGCAGACGTACTAGATTATAATCACTTTAATACATACATTTACAGTCCAGGTAATAAGACCATTATTCATTTCCTTGGATAGGTGTAGGCTGTAATCGAAAAATCCAACATGCACAGACACTATTACATTCATATACCACAGATTCAACTGACTTCACAGGAAAAATGGTAGATTCACGCACGCACGAGTCTCTTACAATTAAATTATTACAGAAGAAAAATAGGTTATAATGCATACTGACTCACCCATGCTTACTGGCAAAGTTTCACTCATTTAATTTCTTTCACTTAATATTAATTCTTCCTACACTGCCCTAGTAATATTAGAGCAGGAAAGCAGAATTAGCTGATCTTAGAAGCTACTAATTCTACTAAAAATAAAAATGTTACCTCTTTCCCCTCACCCCCCAAATTCTTCTGCGTGGAATTACCTGACAAATTTTAGTTCACTAAAACCATTTTAGATCTATGTTTTGTGATATCATTAATACTTTTACATGACTAGGACTGATAGAATTATATATGTTGCAGTGGTAAACAGTATGTAACTATCAGAAAATTTCAGAAATAAAGAAGAATTAAAATACACATTAAATTTATTTCTGGATTTATGTCCCACCTGATAAGCATCTGACACATTTATCACCTTTCCTTAATTTTCATTTTTTTAAATAGTCACTTTTCACTGAAGTAGGTATAGCTTACCATTTTTCTGTAAGCCAAGGAAAGGTCCTTCAAAATCTCATCACTTAAGACATCCAGAGTCCTAAAATAAAATATATAGTTATATCTTCAATCTCTTTTACCATACTTTAAATCATTTGATTCAGACTGTAGTATTTGTTCAATGGGGTTCAAATAATCACGGTGCAGGGTACAATTGATATGTACAGGTGATAGAATTAAATATTATGGTGATGCACACTGACATCCCACTATAGCTACATTCAAATGATTCAGCAGCCTGGTGATGAAGGCACTCCGCTGGGAGGTAGGACATATGGATTCAAATCTTCTCTGCTTAATTCAGCGGAGAGATTCAAATCCCTGCTCCAGAGTAGTGATTCAAACCTGAGTTTCCAACATACTGGGCAAGTGCCCCACTTCCTTGGAGGAAGTTATAAAAGGCGACAGAGACAGAAACAGTTTTCTGAAGCTGATCTTGACAATTGTTTTCCTTTTTTACATCCAAGATTCAATAGGCAAAAATAGTGATACATTTGAGGTTGTTCAAAACTGTGTTTTTCAGCAAATAAACTGAAAAATTTAATCTAGCCCTACTTATAACCATTTGGAATGGTCTTTCAGAATTACCTTGCTGGTCCTCCGTTCTTATGCCTGATCCAAAGCCCATATCGGTGGAAAAACCCCTACTAGGAATGTAACTAGATAATCAGATACCCACTAAGCATCACCCTTAATGGGTGATGCTTACCAGGTAATGGTTAATCATTGCCTGGGAGAGAGCTGCTGTTGTCGCAGTCTCACAGTGGGGAGGGGAGGATCTGCTGGCTCCCAATACTCCCTACGGGAGGCTGCCAACTCCCATCCCGTGAGCCTGCGTGGGTTGGGAACTGGCAGCTCAGTGAGAGATCGAAAGCAGCCGGATTAGAGCAGCCCGTCAGCAGCACAGCTCTCTCCTCCCCGCCGCCATTAAATCACTTAACCCGTTAAATCTAACATTTAACATCTCTAACGCCTACTGACTTATTTTAATGAGCTTTGGATCAGGCCCCTTTTTTCTCTTACTTCTATAAATGTAACACTTTATTATATATAGTAGTACAGGTGAAACAGGTACATAACATGTAAGACAGGGCACAGTAGTTTCAGCACAAATGCAGCTGAAGATTTGTAATTATATTCTCAACAATGATGCATGTAACAATTCCTGATAATCCATTCAACAGATCCACCTTTTGCAGTATTTCACCTTAGTGGTTTAAAGTGCATTGTAACACCAACATCCATCCTTACCTCGCTTCAAGCAAGGCTGCCATGTTTAGTCCTATGAACTGGAAGCAGGACAATTTTAACTGTTCAGCATTATAAGTTGCTGAAAACTCCAGCAGCTCAGCAGCATTCTTTAAAGTAACTGGAAAAAATAAAAATCACAGACTTAACTATGTAATTTTGTTCTGTAATCACATGTTCTTTCAATATATACAATATGAATGGAGGAAAGATAAGGTTATTAAAAGACTAAAAATAAACACTTTTCCTAGTTCATTAGTCAGAACTACTAATATTTAAGTGCCCCTGACTCCCACCCCAGGCAACTATTATTATTAAATCATTATGCAACATGAATTTGACTGATTCTATACAGCAGGGGTGGGGAACATAAGGCCCAGGGGCCAGATGCAGTCCCCCAGATCGCCTGGATCCAGCTCCTAGGGCTCCTCCCATGCACCCCCAGCATTGGGGAGCCCACATGGGCACTCCATCCCCTACCCCCGACTGCCTCCTGCCCAACTGATTTTTCTGTGGGTCAGTAGTCCCTGACTTAAAAAAGGTTCCCCACCCCTGCTATACAGACATAGAAATGATTGTCCCAGGTATGAAAAGCCTACAACCTAAACAAAGGTCAGCATTGGAAATGGAGCACACAGAGATGGAGAAACATGGGTTAAAACAAAAGTAACATGAATAATTTCATTGTAAACAAAGCTTAAGTGCCGCTATTTTCCTATATTGGAGAAAGATGTAGTGAGAGAAGACAGGAATGAAAGTCACAAAAGAAAGTCAAGCAAACCAAGTCAATTCTAAGGAGAGAGAGATGAAGGAGAGTGAGGATGTTTGATTTACTGGATGAGGGAGGTCCTTCCACCTTCAAAGACTTTGTCAAGAGAGGTAGGAAACCACAAAAAGGGCAACAACAAAGATCCAGAGAAGGACATAAGATGGGAATTAGACAGAAACAAACTGAGTAGTGCCTTAAAGTGAGGACAAGTGCCTTGAATATGATGAAGTAAGAGACCCAGATCTGTTAAAGATCTTCTTGGACTAAGCTGTCAATCGACGGATCTCATCTTCTATGATGCCTTTGGTGAGCAACTAAACCAATCCTTGATCAGCAGAGCCAAGTGCAGATGTCACATAAAAAACGCCAACTGCAGGCACTGTATGTTCTTTTCAGATCCTGTGCATTTCCTGCAATGCCTGGATACACTGACTCTCAAAGCAATTAAAAGCCTATACAATGATTTGTCACCAGGACAGAGTGTCCTAAACTACAGTTTCCAGATCATTGGGAGATATGCCACATGACTTCATATTGGCCTTTAAGATGTCTTTATAGTACTTATATTGACCACCGATAGAGTGCTTTCCATGAGCAAGCTGGCCACGGAAAACCATCTTTGGTATCCATGTATCATCCATCCTCATAACATTACCAATCCAGTTAAACTGTTTGTTCATAAGCATTGCTTCCATGCCCATGACACCACACAGTTTAAGAACCTCCGTATTAGGAATTTTGTCCCTCCAGATCACATGGGCAATCTTCCTCAGACAATGCATATGGAACTAATTGAGCTTCAAAACATGGCAACGATATATTGTCCATGACTCCGAGCCATACAGCAGGACATTCAGGACAACTGCCTGATAAACCACTATCTTGGTATGGAGTTTAATACCATGGTCATTCCATAGGTATTTGGTCAGTTTTCCAAAAGCAGCGCTAGCAGTCCTTAGAAGCAACTAACAGCATAACCGAAAAGTAAATGGTGAACAGGAGAGGAACAAGGACACATCCTTACTTTGTACCATTTAATATTTCAAAAGGCACTGATGTGTCTCCATTGTCAAGGATGCAACCAAGCATGCCATCATGGAGAGACTGAACAATGCTGATAAATTTTTCAGGACAGCCAATTCGTCCAAGTATTTTCCAGAGCCCACTTCTGTTGACCGTGTTGAACGCCTTGGTGAAATCATTGAAAATCACATAAGAGGTCCTGATGTTGCTCTCTACATTTCTTTTGTATCTGTCTGTCTGTAAATATCATATCAGCAGTGCCTCGACCAGCACGAAAACTGCACTGGCATTCAAGAATAATACAATTGTTAAACACATGTATTGAGAGCCAACTGTAAAGGATGCGGGGCCAGGATCTTACTAGCTATAGAAAGCAGAGAGATGTCCCAATGGTCATCACAACACGCACAGTCACATTTCCTCTTATTTTTATTTTATATATATATACACACACACACACACACACACACACACACACACACACAAAATCAGGGCATCTTTGAAGTCCTGGGGGACTAGCTCCTTCTCCCAAATGACACTAAACAAGTGGGTGAGATGGTACATCAGCTGGCCACCAGCAGCTTTATAAATCTGATCGAATTGCATCACTGCCAGGTGCCTTTCCAGATTTCATCTATTTAACAGGTTTTTGTACCTCACCAAGAGTTGGTGGTATAGTCAGCTGTAAATCATTAGCCCACTGAGGAATCTCTTCAAGAACACTGCTGTCAAAAGTTGACGTCTGGTTCAATACTTTGTGAAAATGTTCAGTCCAGTGGGTAACCATTCTAGACATTCTTGCTAGTGATTAAAGAAGCATCAAAATTGCATTGAAACAGCACTTGTGTGTCAGGTATTTCAAGTTAACTTACATCTAACTTTTTTCGGCATACAGCAGAATGAGGACGTTTTCATGAACAAAGGTTCAAGGAGACAACACGGCATACCATGTAGTAGTCAGACCAGGAGCCAGTACCACGCATTGCATGAGTCAACTTGACATCAGAAATGTCTTTTTGTTTGGTGATGAAGTAGTCAGTCATATGCCAATGCTTAGACCGAGGATGCATACAGGTTGCTTTGTATTTGTTCGCCTGTTGGAAGAATGTGCTTGCAATAGCAAGTTCTTCTTCAAACTTGTGCACAGCATGAAGAGTGCCATCTGAGTTCTCACTTCCAATACCATGATGTCCAAGCACCTTTGGCCATGTGATGCAATCCTGACCAACTCTAACATTAAAATCAACGAGTATATATATATATATATATATAGCTTAGATTTAAAAGGTACTGAAGAAATCACTGAATTCAGGCTAGCATAGAAAGCCTCTTTTTCATCATCTGCAGCAGTCAAAGTGGGTGCATATGCACTAACAAGTACAAGGCACTGTCCCTGCCTCAGTCTAAACTTTCCAGACATAAGGCAAGAACTGATGGCACGTGGCTCGGATTGAAGTTGGGAGACTAGTGGTGTCCTGATGGCAAAGCCAACTCCTGCTTGCCTTGGATGACCCTCAGAGTAGCCCACACAATAATATGAATAGCCTGCTCCAACCTCTGTGAACTGGCTGGTACCAGAAATACATGTTTCGCTTAAAGCTGTAACATCAATTTTGCAACGTGCAAGTTCTCGACCAATGATTGCTGTCCTGCATTCATGGCGATCACCACGATCAAGAATTGTGCGTACATTTCAGGATGCAAAGCGTAGTTTCTGTTTAGTCATTGATTTTCCCCTGTGACCACAAAAATTGGATATCCGGTCAGTCACAGTTAGCCGACAGGGTGCAGTTGGAACAAGCTGTAGTTGGGGGATTTTTTTCTCCCCCTCTTCTTTAGAAGAAAGCAGCGCTGTCCCTAAATAGGGCTGCTTTGACATGCAGGCAGGATACGGGAGCAGCTGCTGTTCCAGTTCAGTAGACAGACAACCATCACACCTGAGCCGCCTACATGCAGGTTTGTGACTAAATGCTTCCAGTGGTATTCTCCACCTGCATCTGACGACACTTGCCCATTGCGGTAGGACTTTTATCAAGAGGTAAATCTTTGGCATCAAGAGAGAGACCTTCACATATGAATGGATTTAACTGAGGCAGGCTTGCGAGTTCCATCCCCACTCGCTTCTGACTCCGACCATCGTGCACAGGCACAGGAACTTCAACATGTACACTGGAGGGAGAGCGCACAGGTTTGAGATCAGTTACCTTCTCCTAGACTGATGCACCTAAAAAGGCTTAGCGAGCTCAGTCTGCCCCGGTTTGGAATCAGAGTTTCCCTTGCCCTAGTAGTGTTGGTCCACAGCGCCTTATTCCGTATTATTCAGTGCAACCCCTTGGGATCACTCCATGGAGCACTTCCTCAATCCACCATCCTGAGGAAGCGTCTGAACGCTGTAATACTCCAGCGCGAGGGGTAAAGATACTTGATTTGAAATGATGTAATTGAAGGTGTAGACTAAAAAGATTTTAAATCCCTAACACTGGGCGGTCTGCAGGTAATGTGGCAATAGATATCCAGGCAAGACAGAACAAAGACACGAACTGGAGATTCGTTCCTTTCTTTCACAGCTACTGTCAGAATTAAGAAGCTCCATAATGCAACTCACAAAAAAGTACTACACTGATCTTCTAAACAACAACAACAAAAATGCAATCACTTCATTAAGGAAAATAGTAAAACACTCACGTTTTTCAGTAATGGCTACTTCACATATTTCTTTCAGTCGAGATACAAGCAACTGATCTGCTACCACCAGAACATTACAAATAAATTCCACATTTTGAGACTCTGGAAAATGAAGAAGCCACATCAGAAAGATGACTAGTTAAGTAAGAAAATACTTCAGTAAAGTTTTAACAAGGGTCAGTTTGTTCCACTGTGATTTGTAGGCAACATGGCAGAGGTAGCTTATAAAGGGGGATTTAAAACAAGACAAGGTGGCAATGGCTTTGCTAATCTTGTAGACAAGTTCTTCTAATGTACAAGGTGCAACATAGAAGAAAACACAGAGATGCTTAGCAAAAAGCAGAAGATCCTGCTGTCTTTAGCAAAATGAAGGCAGGGGGAAGACAACACTTGTGGTAAAAATCATAACTGACTCCAAAAGTATAAAATGATATCATACTGTTTGGAGTTTACCAACTAATAAAATTTGATTCAAAGGCAATACAATACTTTTTAGTAAACAATGTCAACTTATTGTGTAATTATCGTACCACTTCCTCATATCACCAAATATCTCTAATTTGAAAGTGTTATACTGTAGTGTAGACTATTCAACTTTCTGCTTCCTTCAGGTGTCTTTTCCTTATTTATTAAAATGAAAATAGCAGAATTATTTGAATGAGATCCAGCTCAAATCTATTGTTTTTAAAAACACAATGTAAATTGTTCATACCCCTAACTCTACAATTTCCAGACACAAATATACTGCCAGCACCTTTAATAGCAGGAGCTTCATCGGTATAGATGTAATCCAGGATAACCTGAAGTATGTCAGAATGGATTGGCATTTCCAGAGCTGCACAACAGGATGCCTAAAGGAAAAAGGGATAAGAACAGCACAATTTTAAAAACTGACCATTGGGGGGAGGGAGGGAGGTAATTACACAGGAAACTCTGGTTACTTCAAAACAAGTAGATCCCTCAAGAATCTCAACACCTGCAGTACTAGGTGGGATTGAAAGATGGGATTTAGTTGTCAGTACTGAGGCTGTATGCTACTTTGGAAAGTATATTCTGGTCAAAGTAGTCAGTGCTCATAAGGATTATTTGCATGGCATCTTCCAGGTTACCACAGTCATCTTGGTGGTCAATTTAGATGTAGACAGAACAGAAGTTGTGGGTATAGTTCTCCTACAGGTGGAATGTTTGCATATTAAGTGTCCTGCTAATGCGGCACTCAGTTCAAGGCATACTTGCTCTCCTTTTAATCTGCTGAGCCTAGGCACAGAATTGGTACCAAGAACATCTGAAGCCTCAATCATAACTTGGGTGGGACACAAGGTCTCCACAGGGACCAAACTCTTTTTGAGATGTACCCCTTCAGAGGAGAAGGGCTCCATTTTCTATGGGTTTTCTCCATGAACACACCTCAGGTAGACACAGGAGAATGTACTGAAATGGACAGGGCACTGTGTTCATTCAGCAATGTCTGGGTTGGAGGTTGGGTAAAGAAGGAAGGTGTCATATGGTCTGACTCTGAGGCCAGTTGCAAGGAACACTCCTTCTTTAAAAGATTCATTTTAGATCCTCTTTTTTCCCCCTTGAAGAATAGCTGGAGCGGTTTTACAGAATATGGAGACTCCCACAAGCAGTAGATAAAAATGGGAATTCCAGTCACTGACCAGAAAAGACTCCCAAAATGAGACACACTACTTGAATAGAGCCTTACATACCCCGGGGGCAACAGTATCTAGCAGGGAAGGCACCTCTTGCTGAAAGAAGAAAGGGGTCAAGAAAATCCTCCTTGATCCCAAAATACAAGAGTACATAAAATAACTAAAGAAAAATAATAAAAAGGGCAATAAAGCTAAGAGACTTCAAAAGAAAGGCATACTAACGCTCCATTTCAGGCCAAGGTAGTTCAGAAGCAACTGAGTACAGTTCGTTCACATAGTCTTATGTAGCTTCAGAGCAGGCACAACCACCAAGAAATCCCTGGTACGTAGGGTGTGAGTGTACCTGAAGTGGAGCACTAATAGGGATAATGCTCAAAGACTAATATTATCTATAGGTCATTTATTAAGACCTACTTCAGGAAATTTAATACACCTCCAAGGATTTTAGCAGCCAATAAAATCACTTAAGGAATTTTATAATGCTACAGATTAGTTTGGTAGAAATTTCTTAAATAGTCATATACTTACTAATTCAAAGTCTGCTTTTACATAAAATTACAATGGCTCATAAAAAGCCTTAAATATGTTATTTAATCAGCTTCTGAATGGTTCAAAATTAGAATTTCTGCTAAAATTTTCCATTTTCTTACAATATTTACAAACTGTATTTTAATTTATATTCTAAGTAATGGAAAAATCTTATTTTAGCGACAGAGGAAAATCTGTCATTTACTTACATTAATGAAAAGCAACTAACATGACATACATATTTTTAACTGGCAAGCTTACCTCAATCCAAGAACTGCTTAACATCCTATGAAAGTAGTCTGTAAAAAACAAAGTCATTTTAAAAGACATTGAGAGGGGCAAGGTACTGTGAATAACAGACTCTTCACATAATACATACATACCGAGTCTTGCACAGAGCACACATTTGTGACAAGGGAATTCCTTTCCATCTACAGATTTCATGGTCACATCACAGAGGTATGAACTAAAAGACATTTAGAACAGTTATAAGCCTAAAGTTATTCGCAAATATACACTCTTCTAAACAGCCATTTCTCATTTTGTGCCTGAAACCAGCTGTGATAAGACTAGGCTTCTTGTCCTCTCAACAAGGAGACAGAAAGCACTAATATTTCACTAGAAATACAATACAGTTACTTTTATGGTGATAAATATAACCAACAAACCTTCTCAACAGTTTTAAGGGAATTAAAAAAAAATTAGACAAGCTAACCAAAAGGCAAGCTAATAGTGAAGTGGATTTCCTCCAAAACCAATCCTATCTTCCAATTATTGCTTCAAGACAGGGGTCACAAACAGTTCTCTAGCACTATAAATCAAAGTATAGGCCACACAAAGACATACTCCATGCTGGACTCTGAAGTGTGGAGTTTTTGTAGATTTCTGTGCAGAATTATTATTTTAAATAAATTAATAGCCACTGGGAATTGGACAGCACATCTTTTAGACAAAATAATTTAGTGGCATGAAAAAAATCTATGAAAGGTTTTTGTAGTCAAAACTTAAGCATAACTTGGACCACATGAAGTGTATAGTCCATTCTGGTCAACTTCACATCTACAAGATTTGAAAATTAGTAAACTGCATGTTTTCATGTGTTTAAAACCAAAATTTCACAGTGTTGTAACTCTGGGAGTTGCAACCCAAAAGGAGGTAGGAAAGGGGAGTCACAAACTTGCAGGATTACAGAACTGCCACCCTCACTTTGTGCTACTTTCAAAGCTGGGTTCCGAAGGCAGCAGCTATGGTGATTCCTGGAGATGCAGGAGGTTCCTGGCAGTCAAGGTTGATATGATCTTCCCTGTGCTACCAGGAACAACCCAGCAAGAGGCTCCTACCTCCAAGATCTGACGAGGCTGGGGACAGACAGAACTTCCTCTTTATCTCCACAACTGCTCTTGGGTATCTCTCCCAGCTGCAGAAAGCTCCACAACCCTCCACCCACCAATCCCTCTCCCTTACCCCAGACACATTCACTTCCTCCCCATTGCTCTGCAACTGTAGATGGAAGAGTCACTGTACAGGATTGCTCCCCCCGCCAGATGCTCATTTCAATAAAAGTCATGTGGACTTGACAGGATTTATTGACTGAAGCTTTACAGCAACAACCAACATATAGGCTCAACCCCTTCCTTGGTAGACATGGACATCTGAGATAGGATACCAGTTGATATCATCACTCTACCTCATACTTGAGAATCATGGCCTTAAGCTAACAAAAGCAAGTGGGGGAAAAAAAAGATGTGATTCCTAATGCCATTAATTCAATGCCAAAATGGAGCCTTTAGCAACTGTCTTTCTTCATTCCTGGTCTCTATGCTGAGAACACCTGTTTTGTTTAGACACAATGCTCTCTGCACCCATGAAGTTCATTGGAACTATAAAACAATGTCAAGCTAACCAGGCGAGGAGGAGTATTGTACCTTCCACTAAGTTTCAAAACTGTAGCACAGGCAAATTACAATCTACTTCTTTCACAATATTTTTGTAAGCAGAAATCTCCTGCCTACAATTCTTGTCAAAGCCAGGAATTGCAGTTAAATCCACCAAACATGTGCATTTGTGCCAGATATGTTAGCAAACTGTTACACATTTACAAAAATAACTGCTGAATTTCTTCTAACATTAACATATTTACACACAGGGTAGGCAGGCAGGAGCTAGTGCGCTCCAGCTCCTGCCTATCTCCTCCTCTCCCCTCCCTCCCACTCCTCAACTGCCTCTCATATAGAAGCGGCAAGGAAGGGGTTCATGTAGCCATTAGTGTTAACCAATGAGCCCAGGCTTATCAATTAATCATGTAAATGACTACACAACAACAACCCTAATTTATGCAGGGACAAAAATATGCACCATTTTTAGGAACCTCACTGAATGTCATTGAAACTTTTGAGCAGTTTTTGCTACTTTGCTTGACTCTTCCCTATAGCAGTAGTATTGCCTTTCCTTGTATGTCAAAGAAGCTAACACCTGCTCAGAATTAACATTTAACTCTGCATTGTCAGTGATTTTTGTTTGTGCCTCAGCCAAGACAGTACAGGCAGCCCCCGGGTTACGTACAAGATAGGGACTGTAGGTTTGTTCTTAAGTTGAATCTGTATGTAAGTCGGAACTGGTGTCCAGATTCAGCCGCTGCTGAAACTGATCAGCGGCTGATTTCAGGAAGCCCAGGGCAGGAGCTTCCTGTAGTCAGCCACTGGTCAGTTTCAGCAGCAGCTGACTTGGGGATGCCTGGGGCAGAGCAGCTGGGGTGCTGCTGGGTTGGTCCAGTAGCGCCGCTGCTCCTCGGTGCTACTGGACCAACCCAGCAGCACCCAAGCTGCTCTGCCCCAGGCGTCCGGATTCAAGGTCCAGTGGCCTCAGCAGTTTCCTACCGCCGAGGCTATTACACCTGCTGCCCACCACTGCACAGATTAAAAATTTGCATCTCTACTTTATCTCTGAGCTGCAAATAAGGTCTGTAGATATCTGCAGATATAAAGTGGTATCTTCAGATTTGCAGGGCCTTATTTATCTACCATGGGACAAAGTCCCATCAACTTCCATAGAAAGTGGGTCAGCTGTAAATGTGCCTCTGCAGACATAATTTGTCTCTGTTGATGTTCAATACAGTTACCGAATACAGGCAGTCCCCGAGTTACGCGGATCCAACTTATGTCGGATCCGCAGTTATGAACGGGGCCCTCCCTCTCCCTGGTCTCCAGCAGACCAGGGGGACGGGGAGCAAAGCGACGGAACACGCGGGCAGCAGACAGCCCAGATGCATCTGGGCTGTCCGCTGCCTGCGTGCTCCGCTGCTTTGCTTCCTCTCCCTGGTCTGCTGGAGACCAGGGAGACAGGCCCTGTTCGTAACTGCGGATCCAACGTAAGTTGGAACCGCGTAACTCGGGGACTGCCTGTACATTCATTACTTTGTTGTACACTTCATGGATTGTGACATGTCAAGATTCAAACTAAGTGATTAAGTACATCAGTCGTGTGGCATTCTTGACAATGAACTGAACTTCCTAATTTAGCTGAATATTGTTTTAAAAGGGTTGGAAGTTCTGGTGAAACCTTCATTTTCAGTGTCAACATCAGCTCCTCTGAGTATGTCAAGTGAGCTGCATGGCATTATACAGCCTGAAATCAGGAATTTCAGCAAGTAATCACTGACTCTGAGGAAAGTGAAATTTTTGTTCCTCAATTTCAGTCATTTCCATTGTGCTTGCAATGTGTTGACTAAATCAGTTTGCAGCTAGGGCAGGGTTTAAAGATCTTTTTAACATAGCTGATCAATTTATCAAACTGGCATTTGCACAACTCATGACAAGAAACTATATGTGCATTACATGTAATATGGACAGCACTTGGCATTAAACTCTGGTGAACAGATTTCAAAGATTTCCCCGCGTAAGATGCACCGCTGCTCATGAAAGCAGATCCTTTGACAAAACTCACACAATATTTTGTAGTTTTAATTATAACTTGAGAAACGGTAGCATAGTTATTAGCATTCAAGTGAATGCAGTTGGCAAGCACTAATAGCTTTTTTGTCGGTGTATCTTCAGCCTCATCAGAAATTAAACAGAACACGCAGTACATAGTTGTCTTGTTCAGCTGTGAATTTATTTGCAGTGACTGCAAAAGACTCATGAGTTAATTTAAGACTTCATCTCCTCAAAATTTGTAGCCTTTGGAAGGTAATCCTGTCATAACCTATTTGCAGTTGGCAAGCAACTAGCACTTCTGGGTGATCAAGTATTTCCAATGAGATATCAACATTTGCAAATGCATTCACAAGTCCCATTTGGCTAAATAATATGTCTCAAGCTCTCTGTCATCTTCTTAAAAAGAGATAGATCTGGTTTGGTTTGGGTTTTTTTTAAAATGTTTGTTTCCTACTATCCATAGCCCTCTTTCCGCTTTCATGGGATTCCATGTCTAAATGGTGCTGAATCATTGCCTAATATGTGTGATCCAGCAAAACATAATTCTTTCCCAGATCCTCCACAATAAAGATTTTAGAGATTTATTTATTTGGGACACTCATTTTACACTTGAAATTTCACTGGTCTTCTAGTAAGCTTCAAATCATAACTCCCTTATAAGACCCCTTTTTTATTTTTAGATCATGAAAGATTTCCTGGTTAAGCCAAGGTGGTCTTTTGCCATACTTTCTATCTTTCCTATATAGCAGAATAGCTTGCGTTTGGGCCCTTAATAATGTTCCTTTGAAAAACTGGCAACTCTATTCAGTTGTTTTTCCCCTTAGTCTTGAATCCCATGGGACTTTATCTACCAGCTCTCTGAGCTTACCAAAATATGCCTTCCTGAAATCCACTGTCTCTGTTTTGCTGTTCTCCCTTCTACCATTCCTTAGAATCACAAAATCTATGATTTCATGATCATTTTCACTGAAGCTGCCTTCCACTTTCAAATTCTCAACCAGTTCCTCCCTATGTGTTAAAATAAGATCTAGAACAACTTTCCCCCAGTTGCTTTTTCCACCTTCTGAAATAAAAAGCTGTCTTCCATGCAGTCTAAGAACTTATTGAACTGTCTGTGATCCGCTGTGTTAGTTTCCCAACATATGTCTGGATAGCTGAAGTCCTCCATCACCACCAAATCCTGCACTTTGGATGATTTTGTTAGTTGTTTAAAAAAAGCCTCATGAACCTCTTCCACCTGGGTAGGTGGCCTAAAGTAGACTCCTAGCATATCATCGCAGTTTTTTTACCCCTTTTAGCCTAACTCAGAGACTCTCAACACATCTGTCTCCTATGTCCCTCTCCACCTCAGTCCAAGACTATGTCTACAATGCCCGTTTTGTGCAAAAAATATGCAAATGAGGCAAAGCGTGGAATATTGCCATACCTCATCTGCATAATTAATGAGGCTCCGTTTTTGTGCAAAAACCCCCTCCTGTGGAAGAACGGCTCTTGGACATTTTTTTTTCCAGGAAGAACGGCTCTTGAGCAAAAGTTTCTTGCGCAAAACCAGGCCTAATTAATTATGCAAATGAGGCACCGTGATATTCCACGCTTTGCCTCATTTGCCCCCGTTTTACGCAAAAAATATGCAATGTTGACATAGCCCAAGTGTATACCTTTTTAATATATAAGGCAACACCTCCTGCCTTTTTTCCCCCCGTCAACCCTTCCTGAGTAAGCTGTACCCTTCTATATCAATATTCCAATCATGTGTATTATCCCACCAAGTCTCTGTTAAACACAACTATGACATCGTTGGTATATTTACTAGCACTTCAAGTTCTTCCTGCTTATTATCCATACTTCTTGCATTTGTATATAGGCCTCTAAGATACTGATTTGATCTTGCCTCCCAGTTCTGTCTGCCTTGTCCCTCCTTTTTTTCTGCTATTATAGCCCACACTCCCTCCCATTTCTGACCCATCTCCCAGGTCTTCATGTTCTTCACTTACTTGTGGGCTTTGGTCACTTGCCTCGCCCCCCCCCCCCCCCCCCCCATGCGAATGTTCATATCTACCAATCCGTGAGCTGAGCCCAGCATATGATTCATTACTGACAAGTATCAATCAAAAAAATCTGTCAAGTTCTCTTTTATTTTTATTGGAATAAGCCAACAGTGGCATCGGAGGATGAGGGGACAGTTCCCTGTATAATACCTTTTACCCTGCTGCTGTGAAATGACGGAGACAGGAAGTGAATGGGGGTGAAGGGTTACAGAATTTCTAATTGCAAACTCCAAAATCTACATGGCTTTAGTAGGAACAACATAATGTGTAGCCCTGTAACAGACAGAGTACATCAAACCGGAAAAAGTCATTATTTTTTTTCCTGACGTTACTATTCTATAATACAACAAAGCCATGGAAAATGTGAATGCACAACAATCAGTCATCACGATCGGATTCAGAATACTAACCCACTTTATGATTACAAGAATGTAAATACAAAAACAGGCAAATACAAAACATCTCTCTCCAACTGACACTGATTGTGAAATAAACACACACACATAAGTACTAACCGTTTGCAAAAAAAAAAAAAAAGTCTACAAAATCTTGGTTGCTTCTGCTTTGTATCTGCTTAATTCAAACTGAAGTCACTGGTACTAAAAAGTAAGGTCAGGTACACACACATTTGAAAAAGCTAGACTTAAAAGCTTACCATTTTCTTTGGTTTAACTTTGGTTTGTTTCCATTTTTCTTGTTGACAACATTAATTTTTCCATTTTCTAGTTTAACTCCATCCAATCTGTAAGGCATAAATATTGTAAACCTCAACTCATATATATTATTGATAACAGTTATACTAAAAAGAAAAATAGGTTTGAAATTTAGCACTAAGTAGAATGTTGTGACCCTAAATGAAAGGCCAATAAATGCACTTCACGGAATCCCAGGAAGTCCATTAATAAACTGAGTCATCATTCAACATAGATATGAAAGGTATATGGAAATATATTACTAGGCTTCTCCTACTTAATTACTCCTATTTATTTATCTTGGTGCAAGTGACAGGTGGACTGTACCCAAATAGGTTCACCCATTGACACAGGAATGGTGCTTGCTACTTCTGAGCCATTCTTTGAGGAGATATTAATTACCTTGAGTGACAAGAGACATATTATGAGAGACAATTTGTAAATTGGGTGATCAGATATGGTAGCTTTATCAGAAGGCTGAGCGACATTTTTGTTTTTAAAATGACTGAGGTGTTCCCTGGCTGTTCTTTTATGTACACCCAGCTGTGATAACGGCTTCTTTTTTATGACCACAACTGAGTGCCCGAGAAAGCTGAACAACAGAGCCGAGTGTTAAAACCACAGAATGGGGAAAATTTTTTATAAGGGTTAACTGTCCTCAATCCTTGTGACAAAGTTACTGAGAGGCACAAGACATAAAAACAGTAACATGGAGACATTTGTATAATAGCACAGATGATTTTATCTTGTATTATTATCAGGAGCACAAGACACCAGTTAACAGGGTTCCAGTTCTTTGCTTCATATTGTTTAACGAAATGATCAGCATCAACCATTGATTAAAAAAAAACATAAGAACGACCAGACTGGGTCAGACCAAAGGTCCATCAAGCCCAATATCTTGTCTTTCGGCAGTGGCCAATGCCAGGTGTCCCAGAGGGAATGAATAGAACAGGTAATCATCAAGCAATCGCACCCATCACCCATTCCCAGATCCCGACAGAGCCTAGGGACACCATTCCTAATAGCCATTAATGGACCTATTCTCTATTAATTAATCTAGCTCTTTTTTCAACCCTTTTAAAGACCTGGCCTTCAGAACATCCTCTGGCAAGGAGTTCCACTGGTTGACTGTGTGTTGTGTGAAGATGAGAGCCATGACTTCTTATGTATCACACAAAGGACCATATATGTGTCTCAATCTGCAGTAAGGAGTAATCTGGAAAGCTACATTATTTGCATCTAAACTCAAAACACAGGATGCGCCCATCTCAAAGCAATAGAATGTATATATTTAGTCCAAGGTTTCCAAGATAGGATTAAGAAGAAACCAGTGCTGACGTACAGTGCTTCCTGCACCAGAAAGGCCCCGTGGCTCATTTGGGAATACATTGCTTTAGATGAAGAGCAACCTTAGTTCTCTTTTTTCCTCCACTCTCGGTTGCATTACTTAAGGGCTGCTCTCACTTGCTCTTAGAAAAGTATAGGAATATGCTGACCTCAAATTCCTCTTAAAATATGCTGTGGGTCTGTGAAACATGGGGAAGTGGTAAACAGAAACAATCTGAGAATTATGTCAACCCAAACTACGTCAGGAGTTAAAACTCTTCCATTTTCTAGATAAGCTTATATAGAGAGTCGGGAAGAGGGAGGGAAGTGAGCACCAAGAAAGTGGATAACAACAAAGCAAGAAATATAACACACCTTTCACTTAAATTGCTGAGACCAAATTTCTTTGCAGCACTTTGCAACATTTTTATGGGGTTGACATCTTCACCAACAACTTTGCCTTTTTTAGAAGACTTGGGTTTGTTCTTTTCTCTTTCATTTATTAAGTGCACTTGATTACTTCTGTAAACCTCAAATGCAGATTTTCCATTAACATCTCCACTGAAACTCATTTTATTCAAATTAGAAATCATGTTATCTTGATATCCCTCTGTTTTTTCCTTATGCAGCATTCTTGGTTTGTAACCATGACTCAAAAGATCACAAGTGTCCATGTATATGAACTGCAGAAGATATGTAAACAAATCTGGATGCACTTTCTCTATCATAAAGAGATCACATCCTACAGCATCTTCATCTTTACGATAGACATCTGAAGAGTCCGGTCGATTGTCATCTGAAATGAACAGCTTCCTGAAGAAGTCAGAGCGCATGGCCAAAATGTACTTGTGCGCAGGGATCATTTGAGTGCCAATCTGAAAAGTCACATCATGGATGTTGTCCATTTCATCTGTTTCCCCTAGCAATTTGCCAAAATCCTCAACAAAACTTGAAGATGACACACTTGGAATTTCATATAGGCTATAAACACAAAATGTTATTTTTATTTGATTACATTTTAAATTCTATCATTGTTTTAAATGAAGAACCTCAATTTTTGGCTATTCTACATGACTATTCAAAGTTTCATACTGTATTTTTTATACAAAAAAACTCAAATGGATTAAAAGGGCTATATAAGATGTATATGGTACTTTCAGAATTATTACACTGTCTATATCTATATATAGATATATAAAACAAACTTGTGACATTTTTCTAAAGCACCAAATAATATCACATTTTCTCTTTATAAATACAGGCAGTCCCCGGGTTACGTACAAGATAGGGACTGTAGGTTTGTTCTTAAGTTGAATCTGTATGTAAGTCGGAACTGGCCAGTTCTGACTTACATACAGAATCAACTTAAGAACCCCAGGCGTCCCCAAGTCAGCTGCTGCTGAAACTGATCAGCAGCTGATTCCAGGAAGCCCGGGGCAGAGCAACTCTTTATAAATACAGGCAGTCCCCGGGTTACGTACAAGATAGGGACTGTAGGTTTGTTCTTAAGTTGAATCTGTATGTAAGTCGGAACTGGCCAGTTCTGACTTACATACAGAATCAACTTAAGAACCCCAGGCGTCCCCAAGTCAGCTGCTGCTGAAACTGATCAGCAGCTGATTCCAGGAAGCCCGGGGCAGAGCAACTCTGCCTCGGGCTTCCTGTAGTCAGCGCTGGTCAGTTTCAGCAAAAGCTGACTTGGGGATGCCTGGGGCAGAGCAGTTGGGGTGCTGCTGGGTTGCTCCAGTAGCGTCGCTCCTCGGTGCTACTGGACCAACCCAGCAGCACCCCATCTGCTCTGCCCCACGCGG